TATAGATCTTACTGTTTTTGTTAACATTAGAATTAGTGAAACAGTAAAATTTTAGAAGGCACGATTTACTGCTGTCATACTTCCAGACACAGAACAAGAAGCAAAAAAAAAAAAAAAAAAAAGTCAGATTTACTTTTGTGCTCAGGATGAAAAAAATTTGCTTTAGTGAATGTAAAACCACTGTGATTACTTTTTACCTTTTGCTTGCTTTTCACAGTGGTTGAGCACCTAAACACTACGTAAGACTTAAAATGTTGGTCTCCAAATTTAAAAAGAAAATGATGAACGCAATTTGTTTCTAAGAAATTCTAAAGTGTAACATATTTGTTTCTATCTATTTTTCAGGCACTCCTACAATTTATCAACACACTGGCAAGTTTGTTATTGTATTACTCAGTTTTTACTTTAATATTTAAATTGTACCTATAATGAATGGAGCCAGGCTAAGAAACTTTTTAGGTTAAATATTAAGAAATAAACGAACCTGGGACACCTTTTCATTTGCAGCCTTCATCTCCATATATTTAATCTGATTTTCCTCAGTCATGTCTTTTATTATGTCATCTGCTGCAACTTTTTCATGTTCAATATCTTCTTCCACGGCTTGAATCAACTTTTCTGTGCTGTAAGAATAGCACATTTTTATGACTTTTAGAAGTCTATTTCTACTACTATTTTTCCAACCCACTGATGTAAAAAGTAGGAGAAGACACATTACAAAGTAGTACCTTTACTTGCAGTAAGTCTCTAGTTTTTAAACATGATGTGGACTCTGGGCTAGATACCTCAGTATCTCTATGAGACTAGAAACGATTGACTTAGCTGTTATGCATTGTCTTTGGTAGTTGTGTTTTGAAAGAAAGTTAAAGCTCAGTGCTTTTTTAAGAGGCAATACAAATATTAGCAATGGCTGTCCCAAAGAATTCATTATTCAAGGTAGCACAACACTAGATTACTAGGGAAACTGAAACAGGGTTGAGGCTTGGAAGTCACAAAACATTCTGAGATATTAAGTAAAAAAAAATCGAAGCATCAACACAAAAGAGAGCTACTGAAGTAAAAAAGTTTCCACTCAGCTACATAGCTGAGAATGGAGAATGAGAGGAAGACATAGCCTTTTCTAGTTTCAAGCTATACACTGGGTAGAATGAAGCCTGCAGAATGAGCACCATTACGAGAAAAAATTACAGGACATAATGTGTCCTACATTTCACTATAGTATCTTTGTAAATATGCATATAAACATGCTTTCAGATCAGAACAAATTCCTTCCTTTTCTTCTTAGAGATTTCTTCCTGACGTACAGCCCATGTCCTTAAATGCCTGTAATCTTTATAAATAACGAACTGGATATATAACACTCCACAGGTGTTTTTTTTTTTTTTTTTTTTTTTTGATGCTTCTAAACCACAAGAACTTAACGGAGACTTAAGCAACTATTTAAGCACAGCTCTTTACCTCAGTATGCAAATCGCTCAAAAAATTCTTAATTTCCTGAAAAGTAACATTAAAAAAGTCCAAATTTTTTTTATCCACCTGCAACATTTCTTTAATTGACAATAATCCATCTTGCTTGTAAATATCCAGTGGCATTTTAACTCAGTGCTTCCTATAAGATCTGGAACTTGACACTTGAGCATACTACCATCAGGCTTTCCTATTGGCTGCAGAACCAATTAAATTGAAGATGATTATACAAAATTACTCAACCTAGTCAATGTTTTGCTAAAGATATTCCAGTTTCCTTATTTTTTTACATGGCTTGCTTATTCATTAGGTACAAAGGTTGAAAAAAAACAAAGTGCTGTTACATGATACTATTTCTTGTCAGTGCACTGAGAAGTCTGTGTGGGTATATGGTGCTCCAAGAAGCAACAGAAAGGTAAGACACTTAGTGCATCTTTTTCAAAATGCAGGCAAAGGTTTTCTTTTAAAGCTTTTCTTCTAGACTGGAAATAAATATATCTTGACATATATTAAAAGTTCAGGAATTGCTACGAACCTTGTACATACAAAGTTGTTATGTAAATTGTGCTTCAGTAAAAAGCCAGAATACAGTCTGATTCACTTCTAAAAAGCAGAATACCTGATTATACAGACCTCATTGCCTCCCAGATCTGCTAATTTCTTCACAAATGTAACAAAAGCAACAGGAGTTACATTACTACTGGATGGTATAAGTTGCACAAAATCCTCCAAGGAAATCTTCTGAACAAAATATTTTGGAGTTGAAGTAATGGGGACATGTCAAGGTTCTAACTATGTATTATTAGGCTCAGTTTCTTTCCAAAATAATTCCCTTAAGCAGCAATTCTGGTTTTACTGAAAAGCTACACTGCAATTAAAATCATAGATCCTTCCTTGTTCTTCTGTTGCTTACAACTGTTCCCCCATATAAATGCAGGAAATCAACTTTGTAAGAAAAACTCTAAGTTTTCAATGGATGTGAAAGAATGGGGACTGTGTTTTGACTTGGACATACTTGCAGTGAATTTTTAGACAGAGAAATGATTTTTCCTGTTAATGGTATCCCCGTTACTCAGATACATTAACTCTTTCCTTGAACTTATAAAAAACATTTAAATTAATTTTCACTGTTAATTTGGTTCTTATTAACTTACAGACTGAGTAACTTTTAAAATATTATCCAATATTTTTTCCCCACTCTATTAATGACAGTATGTTTGTTTGTTTTTTTAAATCTGAAAACTGTGATGATGCTATTAATCGTATTTCTAGATTGCATGGTTAATGTCTGCTCTGTTTCTGAACATCTTTGAAGAGGTATCTCTGAAGTCCAAGTGTGCCATTAAGTTCCAGCTTAAACGCAGTTGATATTGGGAGTTTTCAAAAACCACAGCATGTTTTCCACTAGTAATACACAAACTGCCTCCAAAAAGTATGGAAGACACCAGTACGGCCTTTGACTACAATAGTTCCTAATACAGCAACATACTACCACTGCTGTTATTACTGCCCCTCTTTCCTGCCACTTAATGTGTCTTTTTGTGTTTGATGCAAATTTCTCTTAAGAGCAAAAATAACAATGGATCAGAGTAGTATACATTCCTCTTTTGAGGAAGTTACAGAAGTGTACACAATGATTCAGATAGGTGAATGAGGAAAGTCCTCAGAGACAAAAACACACAAAAGCAATCAGATGTGACCAACTGGCCTGAGGCTTCATCTACTCCAAATTTATCAAAGGCCTTGTGGCACTCTTTTTAAGGATTGATATATTTCTTTTTAAATCTGACTGCCTACATTTAGTATTCTTCCTTATTTGTGCAACTGAGCTTCCTGAAGTAAATTGGACCCTGTAAAATTCAGTAAGTACTCTTCAAGAGGAACTTTAAGCAAGTATCTCAATCCTTATTTTTTGACCTTCTTTAATCCAGAAGATTGAAATATAGGAAGGAGATACTGAGGTTCACTCAGTTTATTAACTTTTCTTCATGAGACTTCATACACACAAAACACTAAAAACATTACAAAAGGGATAATCTATTCTTAGCATAAAATTCTACTTTAAATCTTGCTTAAACATAGATCACTTTAACTTGTAAAAGTCAAGATTTAACACTCCTGCTTAGTAGATCTTCCAAATTATGTCCAGTTAAAACGAGAAGACGGATATGTCATACATTTTCTGAGAGAAGTTAACACTGCAGAGAATATTTATCAAAAAAATCTTCCTGACTCTCAAAAAATATGGAACAAATCTGTACAAAAACTCCAGCACAAGAGAATGAAGCATGCTTTCTTAGCAACAACTATGCCTTCATAGAACAGAAGGATGCTGCTTATGTCATATGTTATACTATGAATAACAAAGAAATTAGAAGATCTAATCATTAAAAATTCACAAAAAACCTATGAATTCATATAAGAATATAGGAGATATATGTCCAAATAAACCAGCAATCTAATACAGCATTCTGCCTCAATCAATGGAAACAAAAGAAATTATTTAGGGAGGGCATGAAAGCCTGGGTACTTTCTTCAGTTGATTACTATCATAGTCCTCCAGCACCCATAACTGCTTTAAAAGGATATTAAAAAGTATACATCAGCCTATTCCTTTTATCCATCTGTGAATCTGCTGTCTATTAACCTTCAGATCAAACCATTTTCTGTCTGCTGATACTGCCCACTGAATTCTAGATTTGCTCTAATCCAGGAGCTCAATGCATTACAGCTGATAACGTGTTTTTTCTCTTAATTTTACATTTTACAGTATCTATGTAAAACAAAATATACTGAGTTACTATTTATTCATATGTTAAACTACTGCTACACTGGTATCTTCACTGAGCGGGTGGTGAGGTGCTGGCACAGGCTGCTCAAAGAGGTTGCAGATGCCCCATCCCTGGAGGTATTCAAGCTCAGGTTAGATGAGGCCCTGGGCAACCTGATCCAGGACTTGATTTAGCAGCTGGCAACCCTGCCTGTGGCAGGGGGTTGGAACCCAATGATCCCCGCGGTTCCTTCCAACCCAAGCCACTCTAAGATTCCATGATTCTGATCTCAGTATTGAAAAGTGTTTTTTGCTAGACTCTGAAGATGAAACGGTCTTGGCTCATAATCTGGGCTGGAATGCTGCTTTGGAATCAAGTCACTGCTGACTGCAACATTACTTCTCAAACTGTAAGTTATGTATAAGTTATCCAAGTTTGCTGTGAAATAGGAATTAGCTCCTGGAAATCATATTAAGTGGTGGAGCAACACTAAAACATGTATATATTGGACAAATCACTCTCTGCCATTTTGGGACAGGTCTAAATCACAACAGGACAAGACCAATGACTGCTCAAGTGTGAGCAACATTGTGTCAAAGCTTGCCTAAGTCAGGATCAAATGTGTGTAAGATATTCAAAAGTACTCCTTATAATATTCTTTAAGATATTTTAAGATATTATTTCAAATACTGTTTTTTCAAAATATTTGACAAAAGAACTCCCAAAGAATATACACAGTACGGAACAGACCCTTAAACTAATTTGTTTTTAATAAAGCAAACTAGATACAGTCTGGTCACAGCACTAACAATTTGAACATAGACTAGAAGGAGAAACAACACAACCAATCTCTTCCCAGTAATCAGAATCTCATGTAAATCCAGTGCAAGTACCCTGCCAACAAACGCTGCAGTAATGCATTAGTAACTGTAGTAAGCTGCAGTGATGCATTAGGAAATCTACTTTTTTTCAGAAGAGAAAAATATTTCAAGGTATAAACACTCTTAAACCTGAAAAGAGTACAGCAATGCTAAGCTTCAGCACAGAAAAATCAAAATTAATTTAAATGCTATATGTATAATCAAATTATGTGCTCAAGATGGTTGAAAGCCTGTTTCAAAGATGTTTGCAGTAGTAAGCACAGCTATTCTAAAATAAAATGCATTAGAAAAAGGTAATTTTAATTAATTGTTAGACTTGAATCCACTTTCTCTGTGTCACCTTTGCTTGGTGGTTTCTTGACTATGTGGCAAAGGAATCCTTTTCTACACTGTCGGCCCTCACACCAGAATTTCAAAATAGTCCTACGAACTCCAAAATGGCATGCCAGATCAGTTCTATTTAGAATGATAACCACATAAGCCTTGCAACTCTATTAAAATTTAAGCACTAAGTGTCCTGACCATCAGGTCCTTACACACTAAGACAGTTCATTTCCCTGTATCATTAATCTACAAGAACGTTATGGAAAACATTAACAAAACAGCATGTAGAACAGTAGAAGTTTTCTTCCAAATGGCTCCCACTGAAAAGTATTATTTTATTCCCATTAACAGTTATCACTGGAACACCTTCAATGGACATCTCTATTGTATTTTAATTGTTGATACTATGTTTTTTCAACAGGTCATTTGTGATGAGTCTGGAAAGAACCTCTCTAGCATCCCCACTGATTTGTTGCAGAATGTTACTAAATTAAATCTCAAAAATAATAAAATTACTTTAAAACACAATGACAAAGACATTCTTATAAGGCTTCCTAACCTCACTGAGCTTTATCTGAATGAAAACATGATTACTCTACTGTATAATAACAGCTTCTGCAATTTGACAAAACTTGTAAATCTGGATATAAGCAACAATTGTATTAACACAGTTCATCAAGCAGCATTTGCAGGATTATATCAACTGCTAGTGCTGAATCTTTCCTATAACAGGATTACTCAATTAGATTCAAATGTATTTTCTTCTCTAATAAATCTAAGAGTTTTGAATCTGCAGAATAACCTTTTGGAATCTTTTCATATAAAACCATCTTTTAAATTGACTACAATTACCTTAGATGGAAACCCATGGAACTGCTCCTGTAGCCTCCTTGATTTACAAATATGGCTAACTGCTTCTAATGTGACAATGGGTAAGTTCTTGTAAGAGCAGCATTTCACACCTGTTTGCCTCAAACGGTCTTACCGTAGTTTTTTCCTGATCTTAATAAAATTCACCATCAACTTCTCTGTGTTTTAGTTATCACTGGTTTTTCTTTTAAGATCTTAATGCCAATTAGTTAACAATATCATAAACAATCTCTATTGCTCCTATTCACAGAAAATGAAAACAACACTATGTGTACATTCCCAAACATAAAGCAAAAATTCTCTATCAAGACTGCAACTATTCAACTAGTTGACTGCGAAATGGGAAAACTTTCTTCAGAAACTACTATACCTTCCACCTATGTCATTAAGCATCAAAGCACAGTCTTCCTAACAGCTCTGACTTCAAACATCACTGGAAACAATGGAACACATGCAGGTATCACTGCTGTTTTTCTTCACTGCTTGCAATCTGTTTTCTTTGCTGTTCCATAATTCATGTGGTTTTACATTTTCACTACAGTTATTCTTTCATCAAAGCATTAGAACAAGTGAATTTTCAGGTTTTATTATAACTCAGTTATCCCCCTATCATCTTCTATGTGTTCTCAATCTAACTATTAAGAAATTCATACTAGAGTTCTTTCAGATGTTACACATAAAGATAACTATTTTTTTTTCTGTCTGTTTGAAAAGAATTTCCAGTTCTCGGCAAAAGCTGGACCTTCCTCATGGGAGTGCTAGGCTTTGTCCTAAGCACCACACTCCTGATTTTTACTGCCATAAAATGCCCAACATGGTATCAGCATTTGATGAGCTACAGACACCGTCGTCTGGAAGAAAATGACCCTGAGATGTTTGAACAGGAGTTCTCAGCAGACATGAGTTCTTTTCCTGCAGGATCAGATATAAACAATGAGGATCCCATAGTAATATTTGACAAAACTTTTGAACCCGAGGAAGATGGATTTATTGAGGACAAATATATAGATACTTATGTAACTGAGCAGAGCTAATATCTTACACAATGAACAATGAACTGACTTTTCAAACTATTCAGCCTTCCACATTACACTATTTAAATACAAAACAAAGTGAACTGAAGCAGCCTTGCACCTCAAGAAATTTGTAACAAAGTACTGCTGAATGAACCATAAAGGTTAAAAATTTGGTCATGTCCACATGTTAGTGTCACAACAAATATTTTGAAACATGAAAGAATAGTGATCATCCATGTTTTAGAAAAAAACACTATAACTTGTGGGAGGAAAAGAGCTTACTGTATACTGCCTAAGATGACAAAATCCTTAAAAAGCACCTTGTGAGGCTGATATAATTACTAACACTACAAAGATGAAGAAGCCAGAGACAAAAAACTCTTTTTTTAAACATCTGAAATAGAACACAGACTGGGAGACTGAACCCAGATCAACAGCATCATAGCTCAATGGTTTAACAGGCAAAACAAATGTCTACAAATATTTACACTGAATCAGTAGGCCAACTTAAATGTGCCTACATACAGTAAAATGATAACCAGCACTACCTGACACCTTTTTGCCTTAGTTCTTGATCAAACCAAGTCCCTGCACATTTTGTTAATACTTAGAAATGTATTTAGAGATAAATCAGATATATTTATGAGCTGTTGAAAACCACAGTAATAGTGAAAAACAAGTTATTAAATGGCAAATTGCTATTTTAAAATTCACCCTTCTAGCCTATCACCACACAAACTGTTCTCAAGACTTACAAATTCCTATTGGAAACAGCTCATTTCCTTTATATACATCCTTACTCATTTACATATACATACTTACTCCTTTATATACATCCTTACCAGGCAGGAATTGCTGTTTTAGTCCCCACTTGCACCTACTTTTTTCCCTCTACTACAACACAACATCCACCATCTGCCATAAGTAGGTCTCCACAAAGCAGGAGACTTCTATGCCATCCATCTTTTTCTGGATGACAAGGTAAGTTATCATCACAGCAGCTACTCAGAAGAATTTAAAGACAGAAACTCCAGCTTCGACTTGATACTGGTATATGATCTAAAAAGTGTTTGGATATCATTTGTTTCACAGATTACACTGCTGACAAATTTCTGAATTCAGTAACTTCTCCATTTTACTGTTTTCAGGTAAAAAGTTGGCAGTATTTGACAGGCATATACTTTGTGTACTTACGCTTGTCTTTCTGTGAAAATTTTATCCACACTTTGAGCATCTCGGTCATTCTGAACTTTTAACTAGAAAAAAAAGAAAAAATATATATTTGAATATAATATATAAGAAGAAAACGTATGTACAAGTTCAAGGTTTTCTGTAATGGAGTAAGAAGTTGCTCAGAATGCAATGGAGAAAGGAGGAGAAGAGACCTGTTGCTCCAGAGGTGTTCTCAGGCCTGAAGAAACAGTTTCTGCACCTCTGTGTTTGAAAAACAAGTGCAATCAAGTCTGTAGCAAACTAATTTGCATACTATTACTATGGCACTCATTAGTAAAATAGTGTTTAAGCCCACAGATAGAATGCAAATGTAACAGAGCACTCTTCCCTTTTTGTCACAGACGAGACTTTATTTTTCAATGAAACATGGAAAAAAAAAAAAAAAAGGCCAAGAAACATAGGTGGTTTTTTAACCTACCAAAGTAACAGAAAAAGTAATCTCAAGAAATAGAAAATGCCTAATGCTTTTAAGGCCTTAATACTTGTATAAATTGTCTCACTTTAATTAAGAAAATTAAAAAGAACAAAGCTGATTGATTTTGTCATTGGCCACGTCACAGACTTGACTGGAATTATTTAAAAGACATAAAACAGAAGAGATCTAAAATTGCATTAGCAAGCTTGAAGTTGCAGTGCAGACAACTGAATTTGCCTTTCAGAAGACATGGTGTTCTATGCTTTTTAGTCAGATAAATAATGTATTGTAACACTTGCAATTTCAGTTGGGAACACAGCCTTCTCAAATTTAAGACACAGATTCACTATCTTCACAGAAGCACTATCATCTGTCCATACTTTGGACAGTTGTCTCACTGCAAACACATGATGTTGCCAAGATTTCGGTCCAATTTAAATTGGAGGAGAAAGTATACACTGCAAGTTAGTACCATGCTTTTCTACATATGTAATGTGTTCAAAGCACAGATATCTAATATATACCATTCCATTGATTAAATATAGCAAATATCCTAATTCCTACCAAATTGTATTCACGAATCACTTGTGTAATGTCTGTATTGGTGTTAAGTAGATCCACAACCTGAAAATAGACAGAATTTCAACCTGTAAGATTTCTCAATTATTAGAAAGAAAAAGACAACAATAATTACACACATGTACACACACACACACAAAAAAAAAAAAAAATCAGAAAAATAAGTAGCAACTCATAAAGCATTCGTGAAAATACAGTATTTATCTACTACTGCAAGCAGGAAAACATCTGAATTTTAAACCTGAGCAGATTATATGCAGTTCATAGAAGTAATTCTCATTTAATGTGGCTGTACAAACTCAAATATTATACAGCACATATTTCTTAATTGCATATGCAACAGCTTATCCTAACACATACTAAAATTTCTTGTTTTGTTCTCCTTCCTTACTTTTTCCTCTTCTGGTAACTGAATAAACTCAGCTTTATTAACCACTACACTTTTAAGGAAAAACAGCAAAGAAGTTAAAGCAAAGCAAAATCAGTAGTAAACAAAGGAAAGAAGGGCAAAGTGTGTTTTCAGGATCAAAAGCTGAATGTAGCATACCATGTTGTAGTCTTCTAGCTGACCTTGCCACTCTTTGATCTCACCAGCTAATGCCTCTGCCCTGAATACAAAACAAGAAGCCAAACTTAAAACAGGAAGTGCTACATAATAAAAATGAAATAAAAAAAGATTAATTTAATGGTTCCTTGAAGCCTGCACAGTAGCCTCGTGACTGAGAAAGTTAACTTCGCATTAGTTGTCACAGAGCTCACCTTCTCTCATATGACAAATAAGCAGATTTTTCTTGCTTGTACATTTTTATTTTTTCCTGCAGCTTGTTAATTTCTGATGCGAGTTCACTGGCTTTGCTTCTGCAAAAAAATAAAATTAAATTATATTTAAATATACAACTAAAACACAGTGAACAACAAAATTTTACTCCATGCAAAGCAGAAACACTATCTTTCTCACATGGCACCATGTTTCCAATAAACTGTTTCTATGAAAAGGTAGATAAATAAGGAAAAATTAAAGCAGTTCTGCCAGATAAAGTCATAAGCAAATATTTGAAAACCTGGCTATGAAATTAAATGCTTTCATTATTTTTTTTGTTCTGGTTGAAACAGTCATGAATGTTTCTGAAATGCGCCAAAAAAATCATAGCATCCTTTCACAGAATATAGGCATTATCCACATGAAAAAAAAACAACACCATCTTTCAGGACTGACCATGTAATCCTGTAATATGACCTGCTGACAAAGCAGCATGAGTTTTTATCAGTGTCACCTAAAAGTACAAGTTCGAAGCATATACTAAAATGTGCTTAGTTTGAGATTCTACCTCTTACAACTGAAGCTATCAGACCCACTAAATGCCACAGGTGGAAGCTCAAAATCACTGATGCTTCTGTAATGAATGCCGTGGGAGAGCACTGAACATAGCTAGCCTACAAACAAAATGTCAGAGAAATGTTCTACTTGGACACAAGCATAACATTCCTCTCCTCCTACAAACTACCTTTAAATGACTTTCACATCTCAAACAGGACAGATTTTATTATCAGTTAACACCAGTTATCCCACGCTATTGTTAAGCACAGCAGATGGGAAAAGAGGAAGTAAAGCTTTACACCTTCTGCACTTCGAGTTTAAGACATACCTCAGCAGTCCAAGATAATAAGTTTTATCCATTATCTGTCTCTGAGGACCTGGCAAAGGAGAATAAAATGGCATTTCACTATACAGTAACTCATGCTGATTTAATAATTTGCAGATTTTACACACAGAGAACTGTCATCTTCTCAGTGTTCTTGAACAGATTTTACTTCACCGAAAAAAATGAAAGCAGAAATTCCTTTTAGACTGTTGTGTAGATACAAAATACTTTTTCAACTATATTAAATACTTTATTTACAAAGATACGTTGCAGAATCTTAATTACTCTGCAGCCCTGGAAGAAGATACAATTTATCCTATTGTTCCTTTTAAATTATATTTAAATAGATTCAAAAGTCCTAAGCAAGCTCAGGTGCTGAAAAGC